CCATTTAGCCTTTGTCTTTTTTCCTTGCATAAAACTGCCTATTTTTCACTTCACATGGGGGTGTTAGGCACTTCGGAGACGTTTGTTCTTGTCACACCGCACCATCTGTGGTCGCCTGGCACCCCAGACAGGTCCCCAAATAGGCCCAGTGTCCACTGGCCACACAGAGGGTGGGGTTCTGGCCGCTTCGCGCTCTGGTGTGACCGGCCCTGCAGTTCACCCTCGGTGCTGTGGGTGCAGTTCTTAAAGTTTAAATAAACTCTTCTGAATAATTTTAGATTTGAACAAAAGTTGCAGACAGTTCAGATTCCCCCTGAACCCCTCACCCAGTCACCCCTGTTGCTGACTCCTCCATTATGATGTTAACTTTGCACAATGAAGGGGCAAGCACTGGTGCATTACTCTTGGCAAAAACCCACCCTTGGTTCAGCTTTCGCCCTCTCCCTCTCCCCTACCCCCAACGTCCTTGTTTGTGTCTCAGGATCTGCCAGGACCACGTGCTCCCTTTATTACCGCCAGGCACCCGGGATTTCCTCTGGTCAGTGACTGTTCTCACCTTGCCTTCTTTGTGATGTCCATGTCCTTGCTGAGGACTTCTGGTTGGATATTTCATAGACTGTCCCTTAGCTTGGATTTTTCTCTGCTTATCAGACAGGGGTTTGGATTGTTGAGAGGAAGACACAGAGGTGAAGTGACATGGTTATCAGGAGTGTGACGGGAGCCTGCTGTCACCCTACCTGTTCAGGAGCGTGTCCGCCCGGGCCACCTGGCTGCCCTGGTCGGGCGGTGCTGGCCAAGTCTTTCCACTGTGAATACCTTGCCGTGACTTGGATGTAGCCGAGGGGCACAGTAGAGGCTGGGTTTGAGAATTTCGTGAATTGTCTTAAAAGTCTGTACCCTGTCGTTTTTGAACCACGCGGGCTGTTTATTTTTCTGATGCTCTGAATGCATACATTTGTGTTAAAAGCCTTCGGGGAATGAAAATTGCCTAGACCCAGGGCAGATTTGACATCATTGGTAGCTGTGTTGAATCTTTCTCCCCGTCCATCTAGGTTGGGTTTATGGGTTTTATTTTAAATCTCCATCCCTGGGCCACATGGGCGCCTCCGTTCTGCTCAGATGGCTGCACAGCTTGTGTTTTTTCTTCTAGCATAAGGAAGTCTCATCTCCCTCTCACTGTTGGGGGAAAAAGTTTAGCAGAAGAACATTTCATCCATACTGAAGCTTATCAAATAAACACTCTAATGTATGTGTTCTTATCAATTTGCTGGAAATCGTTCTGTGTGCAAAGTTTTCTTAAAGCTGCGTGAGTTTCAGAGCTCTGTCGCTTCCTTCCATCACCTCTGCCAGCCCCCCAGCCCCCAGCCTGGGAGTGCAGAACCCAGAGGCCTGGGTCTCTGTGGAGATGGTGTTTGGTCTGACCCCTCTTCTGCACTCCACTCAGATGACCTCATCTACATCTTCACCTCAGTTTATTTCTGAAGTCTGGTGTAGCCTATCATAGGAATGTCCTTGAAACAATCAGGAAAAACTAGTGTTTTTGTCCATTGAAACAGTTTTGTGGCCCTTAGGGGACTGCGGGTTTCAACAGCCCTTGTGATAGACATGAGGTGGCCAGCAGTGACTGATCCGTCAGCCCTGCATTTGCAGACATCTCCTCCATGGTCTCAACATCTCCTCCATGGTCTCAGCTGTGTCATTAGGTTGCACTGGTCAAAGTATATTTTCAGATAATTAGCACTTCATGTTCCTTCTTCTTATGGTGAATTTGTTTAAGAGATGAGTGTTAGTGTACTTTGACTTTAAGTCAATTTTAGAATCTAGTAAGAGGGGGAAAAGTTCCAAAAAAATATTTTTAAGAGGACTTCTACTCACTTCCTGGTCGCTTGGTATGACAACTCAAAAAAAGAAGAATGTTTTTAATCAACCACAGGGGAAATCCTTCCCTTGGCCCCTCAAATCTACTTTCAGTCTGTTAAAAGATTCCTAAACTCACGTAGGGGATTCCCACATGGGCTATAATAAGTCTTTTTGAAGTTTTCATATATATAAGCACTGTAGGATGGTGTCTTACTCTTGTCGTGTGAGGGCTGTCCACTGTGCCATTACTTTGTTTTAATATTACTCATTCTCTGTTTTAAGTATGGATGTGCAAGAATGAGAGGCGCCGAACATCTTCAAAGGAAATACAAAAAATTAATGTGTTACCTGGTAGCTTAAAGAGACCTTCCAAGTATGAGGTCTCTGGCTACATCCTGACTCTCCCTTCTGCAGTCAGGAAAGCCAGGTCTGCAGAGCTTCTGCCGGGCCTCTCTCCCCTCCCGTCACTGTGTGGCCTGTGTCTGCCGCCCAGGCGGGAGGCTGTCCTGTAGGTATACGTCCACAGTTACCATCCAGGCCATTTTCTAAGATCTTAATGTGATCTTCAAGAAGATGAGATATGGGGAGGTGTTGGGGGGACCTGCCCACGGTAGGGTGAAGTGCCATGCCGCATCACGCTCGGCTGGTGACCGTGAGAAAGTCAGAAGTCACAGTGCGGCCCACCTGCCCCTTGCCAAGCGTGCGTGTAAGGCCTGTCTCTTGGGACAGGTTCTATTTCCACTTCCCTCAGAACATGTGACACCCCCGCAGCAGACGGGAGCCTGCCATCAGCTTCCCACTTTGCAGGCGCACTTGGACGACGAACAAGTGAAAGTTCTTTTAAGGAAGAAGATAACAGCTGGAGCACAGAAAGCAGAGCCCCAGGTCCCACCACCTGGCTCCAGCACCTGCCCTGTGCTCAGTGGGGCTGCTTCCCAGGGACCCAGCTCTCGAGAGGTGCACGGTGGGGGGAAGTGGGCGGGGGACAGAGACGGTGTTTTCTCAAGACATTTGAAAGTCCTTCCACCCCCACCCAGAGGCCAGCACAACAACAAAAATGAGTTACCCCTGAACTTTGCTGGTTCATCCTCAAGCCTTTAGGTCCCCTTAACTTACCTAATATAAATTTTATGCTTGTATGACAAGAAGATTCAGCCCCTGTCAGGACACTTTAAAATGGCTATCTGTCTTCTGTTTCCTCCTTCTAAATTGTGCTTCTCCTGTACAATACCTTGTATTTTTCTCTGGTTATAGATTGTTAGGAAAGTTTACATTAAAATAGTGCAACCTCTCTGGGACTGGCATACCTCCTGCTGGCCCCTGTGTCATTCTCAGGGCACTAGATTCCTCCTGTAAGTCCCTATCTCTGCAGGAAGATGCTGGAAAGGCTGCCCCAGGGGCCCCAGCCCCAACCCCTGGCCCCATTCAAGGGGGCCTTTCTCAGAGCCAGGCTGCAGCCCAGAGAGAGTTTCCAGGCTGCACAGCTACTGTCTCTGCCAGCAGATGTCTTTCAAATTTGTCTCTCTCCTTAACACGAATATGCAGGAGTAACAGTCCCAGTGCCAAGTTTTCCTCTTTAATTTTTGATGTGGTTCAAACTCAGCTTCTAAAAGTGGATTGTACCCGGGGATGTAATGCCTTTGCCTGAGATGGAGGCCCTCCTAGGCGATTAACATTTAGTCATTCAGCAAACATTTATTCGGTGCTTCTTTCAAGCAATGAGGTGGGAGTTCAGAATTAAAGGGATTTGTAGGATAAAGAGCATGCATGTGGAAAGAGCTCTTGAGGAGGGCCTGCAGTAACCAATACGTGATGTGGATTTGGGACGGTGGATACATATAAGCAGAGAGAAGGAAGGGGCTGCAAGGGAGTTGCTGTATTCGAGGCCTTGTTAGAGGCTGGAGACCACGGGTGTGCAGGAAATGGCATGGTGTCAAGACCTGCTCGAGGTCAGGGCTTGTAAAAGGCAGCTTCTCAGACAGTTTAGCTTTTTTTAAAAAAAAAAAATATTTTATTTTATTTTATATAATTCTTAGGTCATTTTTTTATTTTTGCACTGCAAAAAGCCTCAATAAAATTTTAGCGTTCAGACAGTTTAGCTTTGAGCACATGCTGGTATCGCATTACAGTCAGCCATGCAAGGGAAGGGGTCTCTGGCGGGTATGGGAGGTTTCCTTTAGATAGGGATGTGTTAGAGGGAGAATGACTGATGAGATCATTGTTGAATGTTTAAATTGTTGAAGAGCGTCCTATTAAACATCTTTGGGCTCAGTTGAAAAACTCAGTTGGCTGGAAGGTAGAGTTTTCCTGCACAAGTCTTTCTTTAATTTTTTTATGTCATTGTCCATTTTTAAACAATACGTGCTTCCCCCCACTCCCTCAAGTGTAGTCCCCATAGAGTTTCCTTCTCCAAGGCACCTGTGCACCATCACCTCAGTCCCCTGGGCTCCTCCCTCCCTCCCTCTGACCCCTCTCCCGCCTCCTCCCCTGCAGGATGTCTCTGGTTTATAATTGTCCATTTTTGCTTTGTTGTGTTCTGTACTGTTACTGATGTCTTATTTGGTTCCCCTATATTCCTGCTATATGTGAAACCATCCGATATTTTTCTTTTTCCGCACGTCTTAATCTCCTTACAATCTGTTAGAAAATTGCATTTGAAAAAATAAAGCACTTGATCTGGAATGCTGCTGAGCACTTCCCGCTCCCAGGTGGCAGGCGGTCCATGTTGTCCTGTGGCGGTCCGTGTTGTCCTGTGGCCATAGGGCCATGCCGTGCTGTCGTTCTGGGTGTGCCAGGTTGCAAGAAACACCAGAGGGCCTGACCTGGGAGTATTGACTGCAATGGCTGGGGCCAGGGGTGGCTACACACCTCTGTTTTCTCCCTTGGTATCTCCGAGGTCTTACTATTTTAGGGTCTTCTCTCGTCTCTTTGATAGTAATATTTAGTCACTGGCAGCTTATCCCATGGCCATAAAAATAACACTCCACAGTTATCTGGTGTAGCTTGTGTGGGTATGTTTGAGAAAATGCATTTCTTGTCTATATTTGATGTGAATAAAGACTTGGCCTCTTTGCCTTTTATTTCCTTTAGAAGCCTATGTGCAAAATAAACAATTCTCCCTTTTTAAAAATGTCATGCAGGTTGCAAAAATCTCTGCCTCTAAGAACTCAGGAAGGACGGACTTCGTGGGAGCGAAGGTGATGAGTCAGACCCACGAGCTTGGGAATGACGGATCGGTTGAGCCTTCATTCGGCCAGGAGTTTCCTAGGCAACCGTGTGTGCAGTAATTAAAGGATGAGGAACCAAGAGGTATGTACTTGGAAATTTTAATCCTCACATGCAGTTCTTGTCAGATTTGCGACCTCAGCTTTCATGATTTCATTTAAAACAAGCAAATAAAAGGCCTGATCATTATAGAAAAATACAGTCATTAAAAGGGTGTTTGTGCGCGTCTGTTGTATGTAATCTGTTAACACTGTATATATGTATCAATGCTGGCTTATTTGGAAAGGCGGAAGAGAGCATACTGCTAGAAGTGACGTAATTACTGTGACGTAATTTCGAGTATGAGCTCTCTCTCCGTGTGCTGGTATCTGAGCTCATCACCATCACCAGACTCTCCAGCCTGTGGAGGAGGCAAGTTTACTAATCCTATTTCCTCTTTCAGTGTTCATGCTTGGATTTATTTATCCAGATGGTCTAGTTGGTTCCGTCCTCCTTAGATGGCCGAAATGCTTTGCTCTGTGGCTCGAATGCCAGGGTGGGAGATGGTGAGCCGGGAGGAGACGCGTCCAGCCTCATTGTGCTCCTGATTTCCCGCTAACTCTTCACTCTTATTCTTCCTCTTAGGTTTCCACTTGCATGGCCTGAAGGATATGCTAACCATTTCTCCCAGATTTTGTTTAACCTGGACTTGTACTAAATTCCATTTTAATGAGAAGGACGTCCTGTTAGTTATGTGACAGACTCGTTTTCACTGGTGGTCTGACTGCTACCGACAGGAGCCAGAATAGTAAAATATTAGCAGTGTTACTATGAAGGAGGGCGTGCTGTCATCCCAGCTCAGATGTTCTATGGACACCGAGATACAGAAATGACTGTTTCTGAGGGGAGAACAAGAGGGGGCTCCCGCTCTGCCCGCATGTGGGTTTCACAGCACATGAGCTGGTAACCACAACGGTTGGATTAGCACGGGTGTGCCAGTCGATTCCCTTCCACAGATAGCAATTGTGAGATGCTCCTATTGCAGAAATGTGGTGGATTAAGTAGCTAAACTTTGTTTCACCTCCTCCCTAGGTTCCCAGATCCACTAAAGAAAAGAAATTATTAGCAAGTCCTGATCTAGGACTACTCCCCCATAGCCAAAATGGAAATGTTCTAATCTTTAGAGTCAAGTGTACTTGATCCTGACAAGTCCATTTTGCCCTTGACGTCATTGTGCCATGGACAGCGCAATTCTACCCTGGGTTTGAACTTGCTTCCTTTAACACATATCTGAAATGTCAGGCTGTAGTTTATGAAGGGCCTAAATTATTTTAAAAGAAGGTAGACAACAGTATTTATAATATCTGCATTTTCACTTTTTTTGGTGAGATAGCAATCGATGTCAAATTGTCAAATTGCGTTATGCATTCACTCACTGAATATGTCCAATTTGCTAGTCCCTGTTGTGGTAGTATTGAGGATACAGAAATTAAGAGCTGGTCTATTTAAAAGGTTAAAAGGTGCTATTAAGTCCAAAAGGAGAGACATGCAAATAAATGTTGTAAGAATCAGAAATGCTTCTCTAGCACTAACTGTGTTCCAGGTACTGTCCTAAATGCTTTGTAGGCATTAACTTTAAATCACAAATCAATACAAAAGCCCTATGAGTTCTCACTATTATTTTCTCTATTTGACACATGAATAAATTAAGGTCCAAAGAGGTTAAGTTGCTGTACAAGGTCATCTTGTTCTAGCTACACTGAAAGCGCTATTCCTGGGTTGCTCCACAGGATGGGGGTGCCACCCCTGTTGGGAAAATGGGGACTAGAGGTGTGGTTGTCAATGATCTTTCCCCAAAGGGACAATACCTGGACACGTGGATTCAGAGAAGTAGAAGAGCCAAATTTCTTCAGGAAATTCATTAACACCAAAATCTGTACCATAAATGGGTTGAATCAGTGACAAAATATTGCAAGATGGGGAGATAGTAAAAATACACCAGATTCCTACATCTTCAGTATAAATGACAAGGAAATAGTTGTCTGATTTTTGAGAAAATCTTTGTTTCCATTTGATATAAGATGATGATAGAACGTTGCATTAGAAAGTCTAACAGGATAGAATATTAATTTACTTCCATTCTGTGAGCATTGGAGACAATGTAGGGAGCCCTTTGATACGTTCTGAGATGAAGTTCCCAATCACCAAAGGTTTTATCTGGGAAAACCTGTGGTAATACATAGAAATAGTCAACCAGTATTCATTCTGTATGAAGTGGAGGGGAGAAAGGACTTAATGTCTTTCAGATTGAAAATTGGCAGGAACTGTTGAATAGGCACATCAGCTGTAAAACTACTGAGAAGGTGGCAGTGGTGGCGCCATACTTGACAGGACTGCACTAGCGCTTGGCTGCTCCTCATGCAGGTATCAGCCCTGTTCTTTGTGCACAACCTCCCATTTCTCCCCATGTAGCCTTAACCTGTACTAAATTCCATTTTAATGGGAACGTGGCTAGTTTGCGTGCACCAGTGGGGAGATCATCCTGTTAGTTATGTGACAGACTCGCTTTCACCCATTATTCCCATGCTGGCTTGATCTCCATCCTGCTCCAACTCCCTTGGGTGACCCACTATTACCCTGACCAGGGGGGTTTTGGAACTTCAGTGTGCTCCATGCCTCCAACCCCTAATTTCTCCTCAGCTCTCCAATCCCTGGACATTGCTGATGGCTCAGATCAGTCAGTCGGAGATGCCTTACTTGGCTACACCCTCCTGTCCATCACCTTGTCCCACAAAGTTTTCGCCACCTTACCATGATCTCACTAAGACCACTCACCCCCTGGACTCCTGCTGTGTCAAACCATCCCTCCCTGGTAGCTTCTCCCACCTGCCACCTCTGCTTGGCTTTGTGCCTCCCTTGTTTCTCCTCCTCTCCTTTTGTCTTATTACTTTGTCTTCCTCCTTATCCAATTTAGAAACCAGGTTTTAAATCATTTTTGCCAAGACCTTACACATCCTGACCATTTCCCCCCCGCCCGGGCTGTTGGAGAGAATCATGCAGCTGGGCAAACTGGTACTGGGACACATAAGTTCTGGATGCTGCTCCAGCACTGCCTGTGTAGCACTGTATGACCCTGGCCTGCTGTCTGTCATCTGGTCTCCATGGCGACTATTGCTGAGCTAGTTGTGCTCTCCAAATTTCTGAATGCCTCTCCTCCTCCTGTTAGATGCTGCTCTCCTAGAGGAGGACTCTGTTCCACCTGCCACCATGGAGCTGCCACTGTCGCTGGGCGTCTGTGACCTGATGACCTTCTGGTTGTCCTTCCATCTCTTGTACTGTTCTGCCTTAGCCGTTTCTGTTGGTTTCATCTCCTTCCAACTGACAGTTGTCTGAAGGCAAGTACAGACGTCTATTTTCTCTTTCAAGTACAGTGAAAACTTTTTATACCACTGTCCTCTGGCTTCTGCTGGAGGAAAATTGGAATTTATTGTAGGTTCCTGGCCTTTGACTCAAGCTGTCCGGGAGAACTTGTGTGGAACCCAGCACTTGACTCTGACCTTAGCTAGATACCACGCTAGGCATACACGCCACCGTTCTCCATGCCTGATGAGTGGGTCCGCACCCTCAGAAAGAGTCCCTGAGGCTCAGATCCACATATATGCAGGGGAAAGTTTGACCTGCATCTTTCAGATTAGAAATGGTCAGGACTTTCCCAGACAGATCAGTTTTATTATTACATTGTTCTTAAAGTGTTGTCTTCAGTGCATCTCATTGGTGTGTTTGCAGATCAGGGAGGGGTGACAGTTTGCCCCCCATCCCCTTCTTCTCAGTAAACCTCAGGTCAGCTCTGAGTTGCTGGTTCTCTGACCCGCCTTTGGCGGGTGGCTGCCGGCTCTGCTGTGCGCCCACCTGCTTCCCCTGCTTGACTTGTTGCTCTTCCCATTATTATTATTTTTCTTTCTCTTAGCTCTTTGACTTTCACATAAAATTATGCATAAAAGTAGACATTATTCATTGATAGGTGAATTGCTCAGTTCCAGAACTGGGCTTTTGGGGATTTAGAGATTAAGGACACAGCACTCTCCTTCTGGTGATGAGAAGAGAGAAACATCTAAATGGGTGATCTGAGCACAGTAGAGTGAAGTCTGTGCTAAGGGTTTTGTTTATGTAACCTCACATGATCTTAGAATACACTGTACATTTGCTGACATGACCCTCATTTCACAGAGAGGTGAAGTCATCGATGGGGGCTTGCTCACCCAGCAAGTCCCTTAGCGGGGCATGTGGCAGCAAAGCTGTGCTCCTGTGTGCTGTGAATACAGGTCTTCTGCTTGCCCATGTCGCCTCTTTCCATGCTTCCTGGTTGACCATCAACTATAGAATTCAGGGTATAGTTATGGCTGCTTTACGTGTGGAGTGTTGGCTTTGAGTGCGTAGTGAGGAGGTGTGAAATGAACTAGCTCAAAGCCTGGTTGTAGCGTGTGGGGTGGCGGGACCCTTCCTCTGCCTGAAAATCACACTGCTTTTATTGAGTTGACGGTGCATTTATTACTCCGGTGATTGTCACATGTAACATATTCTCCCAAAACACTTTATTTCTCCCCATTAACTTTCATAAGAGCCCACCTCAACTTTCCATCACAGGCTTGAGATTTAAGTGTATTACATTTAAAAGAGCAAACAGAGGCAGGGTTATCTGTCAGTCCCAGAGGCTGGAAGCCCGAGATGGGGGTGCCAGCATATCCCTTCAGGATTCAGATGGCTGCCGCCCTGATGTATTCACACACTGTGGGGAGAGAGCTTTTTTGTCCTGTTTCTTCTCAAAGGATCCTCCTCCCACTCATGAGGATCCCACCTTTATGTCCTGATCACCTCCCACAGCCCTGCCTTAGGTGGCTGTTGTGTTGGGGATTAGAGCTTCGACACCTCAATTCTGAGGCGGGGGCACACACAGTCTCTGAGTGTGTGAGGAAGGGCTTCCCCACATTGGCAGCTGCAGGCTCAGAGGCCTCCCAGGTGAGGCTGTCCCAGATGCTCGCTTTGTAGGCATTGCTGGAGCAGAACTAGCAATAGACAGGACAGGACATTTGGAAGTGAGATTGGAG